ATGTTAATGGCAGACATATAGAAAATGTATCAGGAATTCTACTTTTATGTAAGAAAAATAATAATACATAGAGATCTCCTGGGAAATATAGGATAAGAAGAACAGAAAGTAAGATTAGACAGGCTGCATGTAAAGGAGATAAATGGAAGGAAAAAAAGTTCTACAATTACAGACTGGTCATTTGCTTTTTTATAAGGAGATTATCATGAATGTATTGTTTAAAACAAGAAATTCTAGGTACGGCAGTTAGAATTTACTGAACAACCTACGAAATACAAAGCTTTGCAAAGTATGAAGTAACCAATTTTTGTATTAAACAGTAAATAAACTCTTTTCTTAAATATATATATTTTAGTCAATAGACAGAAATTATGAATCTTTATATTCACATACCATAAAACAGATCTTGACTCCAGGACAGAAAGGAAAAAACCCAAAACAGTTTGGTAAAATTTATTCTATTCCCTAAATGTTAGGGAAATTACGCTAGGTCTCCCTGCTTATTATTTATAACATTTATACAAAGATATGAAGAAGTTTATCTATAACTACACTTTATAAATGTGCTGTGCTTCATCCAAATGAATAAATAAAAATCTCTATTTATATAAACAGAGACGCTTTATCCTGAGGACAGCACACCCCAACACAGTACTTTCATTTTACTTAGAGATGAGTGAATTTTGTTTTTTTTAGCTAGGTGGATCCTAAAATTAATCTCCTAAATCCTCACCTTGTCTTCAAAACATCAGACAGTAACATGAAGAGATGTTGGTCAGGTTAAAATATAAACAGGATGTGAACAGAAGTGGATGTCATGAAAGTAGAAAATAAATTCATGTCAACTATTAAGCCACCCAGAGAAGGGAGATGAGTTTTGTTGTAGCTGGCATTAGAGCTCTGTAACTCATAAGCTAGTGCACCTGATTTCTAAACCCAATTCCACATGCACAAGTCCGCTGTAGTCATTCTGACTGCTGGCAGTAGCAGCTACATTAAAAGCAGCTGAGAGAGTACTGAGTGACCAACAAAAATTAGATTTAATATATTAGAACACACATCAATGTAACATATTTTGTTGATCCCATCAAACCACACTACTGGGGAGAAAAAAAAACACAACAAACAAATACAGCCTTAAAGATTATATCATCCATAATGAAATTACATAGCAGAAAAGCTGTTAAAGGAGAACACAAACTTCTGGACTAGCAAGGAATACCTTTCTGTACAAACTGAAGAAAGTAGCACCCAAGTAGCAGAATAAACTAACTCTTAAGGAGATTTCAGGTAGTTAAAATCCAAATACATACACACAGCCCTTTCAGGAAAAACACCGAAAGAAGACACTTCATAGAATTATAAAATGGTTTGGGTTGGAAGGGACCTTAAAAATCATCTACTTTTGATATTCATTATTTCCTATTTAGTTTGTTGTTGCTATTCTCTTCTCATGGCTTAGCTTTTATTTCAAAAGATTTCCATATAATTCTTTACTGTCTAAAAAAATAGTCAAGGTCTAAACCTCTGAATTGTTCTGAATTCTTTATAAATCTCAAATGCTCTGAACAGATGGAATAGATACTTCCTACAGTACATGAGCAATCCAAGAATTCACAGGCTGTATGTGTATAAAACAAGGAAAATTAGGTGGGTTAACAGCAGGAAAGTAGCTGCAGCATCCCACTATGGGTGTAGAGACATTGAGTGTGAGCCCTTTGTCTGGACGGGTGCCAAGGCCTCCCCACAGTCATCCTAGCTGTAAATAGGTAGGATAGCTTCATTCAAGCTGAGAAGAAAAAAGGTAGACAGATGTGATACTAGCCATATTGCTCCCTTGTGTGCTGTTGGCTGCAAAATACAAGTGGGCCTTAAACCACAAGATCGATAAGGCACCTGCATCCAGAAGGGATCCTCGGTAGGTTTTGTATTAGGGAAACCTACCCAAGTATCAAAGCATCAATAAGTCTGTTGATTTCTTTATAATTAAAAATAATAAAAAAAAATTTTAAAAGCCTGTATTACAGATTTTTCAACAAAGACAAATGTTGTTAATAAATACAGTTCATACGGTTTTAATGTAAGAGTTATTAGATGCTAAAAAAAATATTTCCCATTTTTACCCCTTTATACTGCTTCTCCAGCATTGCCCATGTTTTCTCCCTTTTTCCTTTTCTAAGTGGTTTTACTATGTTTAAATGCTTCTTCCATATTGACAATTTTGTCTGTTGGATTTTTTCCATTGCTTTGTTCCTCTACCCAAAATGCAGAGCATCCCCACCTCTCTTTCCCATAAGATTCCTTTCCTTATTTATGCTGCCTTTTTTTTTTCTCTACTCCTCTGTTTACTCTGTGTCTTTGCTTCAGCAGAAAAGAGTCCAAGCAAAGATAAAAAACACATGGGAAGCAACAACATTCCTTCGCTACTCCACTGTTTTGCGCATGGAAGCATGCCATTTGTGAGGGAACAGAAATCCCTGTGGCATTTGACAAGGATGTTATGTTGCTCGGGCAACCATTCCTAATTGCCTTTTGGGATGCTGAGCAAACAAGATGGATTTTTTTCTGCTGGTCTGTATGAAGGTCACAGTAGCACAGGGGCAGCAAACACAGGTTACTGCTACAACAAGTGAGGCACTGAAAAAATATACATCAGGCAGCCCTTTATGCAATAACATGCCAACCACACATAAAACCCAATATATGCTGCAATTAAAGTCATGTAAGATATAATGTGTACAACAGTTGTCATACAAGACTACAACAACTAATATGCCAGAGACAATGTTATTCTAGACTCATGCTGAAAGCAAATCTCAATGTTTCTCCTGGTCTGAAAAATTAAACATATAAAAAAAGCTATTTCTAACTTTTATATATATATATATATATATATATATATATATATATATATATATGTAACAGTATCCTACAAGAAACAGATTGTCAACCGCACTTTGGCAGGACACTATTAACATCCTTTAAAGATTGGGATGAAAAAATTTTCATAAAGTAAACGTCTGCTGAAACAAATAAAGGCAGAAGCTTTAAGAGCAAGAGCTACTTCCTCAGAGTTCCTCCAGAGGGTTCATCTCAGTATATGAATATTTTGCATCTTAAAAGAAACACACCATATGCTGGGATGGCTTTTTTTAACTAGGAAACTCTGCCTTATATTTTTGGAACAAGCAAGTTTTTCCTTGGGTATGTTTATTGACATGTTTCATAAACCTCAAATCCTTAACTGAAAAAAGAACCTACTTTGGTTGTATGAAAAGCAGCTTTTTTTTTTTTAGTTCAGAGACCAAAAGGAGGAAGAAAGGAGAAATTTCATGTAATTTGGGGGGAAAAGACCATTTAAAGATCAAGACACATGCAATGAACATTTCATTGCAAAGGTATTCAGATAAAATTACAGCTTTTCAAAATTTTCTCCATTTTCCCTTTCATGTAAAGTATTTGGTAAATTTAATCCAAATCCACTAACAAAGACACAAAATTGAAACTTTTTTCAGAGTTTAACGAACCGATAAATTGCAGTTCCTAATCCAACAGTCCAAAATCCTCTGGATCCTGGAATTGCCTCTATTTTCTGCCCGGCACACAGGAGGTACAGATCCACCTGAAACTCTCCGGTTTTCATTGCCCCTGGAGCCATGCAGAAACTTAAGACCATAGCAGAAAGATGAAAAATTACCCAAATTTTTCTTTTAATCATGTTTACTCTGTTTTCACTTCAGTCTCTGCCCTGTAATACAAAGGCTTCCCCAGCCTACACTAACCAACCCCCATTACTGGAAGCAAAGTCTATCCTTCCTGAGTTTCTCCAAACCTACACTTACTGCAGCACACTACAGCAAGCACATACAGATGCCAAATTTACGGTCCAGGAATTGACTGGACCAAGTAAGGAGGGAAAGATGTATCTTGAGCTCCCTGCGATACTTCCCAGTCCAAGAGCAGAGGAAAAGTGTTGGTAAGAAAAAGTGTTGCGCTCCCTGCTTTGCGTTACTGTCAAGGGCAGGACACCAGGGTCAGCAGACTTAATGTACCACATCCATCCTGTGCTCACCTTTCACGTCAAGGAGAGGAAAAAAGGCAAAAAAAATATTTCAAAGCCGTTAGCAGTACTTGACTATAACCCTTTTTTCTCCCCATGGATCATCCCAGTTCCCAAAGCTTGAGAATAGCTCCCAACAGACAGAGTAAGAGATGTAACTGTAGCAATTTCATGTTCTTATTTATCTACAACTGGTCAGAAAGCTCTGATATAGTGTTTGTTTAGCTAGACTTGCATGTACTTGCAATTATTTTTTTTTTGCAAAAATACTTCCTTAGCCATAATGGGTGGCTCCTTCCATGTGTTTCACATTTTCAGGCATTTTTCCCTGTCCAAGGAAAGCACTCCAGTTCTCTAACATAAGAAAGCAGATTTTACCAGTGAGAACACTTGAACAATAAGACCATCTGAGAGGCCCATGTCACAGATAACTGACAATCAAAATGTTCTGCATCCTAAAATGTTACCACAAGCACTTAATGCACCAACAAAGTCAGCAATATCCCACCATTAGCACTCATGGGCCTTCAACTTTCATAAAACATTCTCAAGAGGCATTTTCAATTTCATAATGACACTTTAACATACACAATATAAATAGATATGACAAAATATTATTATTTAAGCCTGAGGGAAGACACATCAGGAGTCATATTTCTCTATTATTAATTATTATGCACTCTGAAACACTAAAAAAACTAGTGACGTTGGTGGACTGTATTCAGGAGATAAATAACAGGAAAATTAAAGTAAGACTTGTCTGTCCCTACAACTATTACTATTGGCAGTGTGTTAATTTTCTGCAGAGCTATGTGAGCAAATGACTTGCAACTTACAACGTTACTTGCACTAATTTCGTGTTACAAAGGAAAAAAATAACTTTTGTGGATTTTTTTCTATTTTCATTCTGTTTTCAATTATGAGCTAATTTTGCTCTTACAGTATTTATGTGCAGGCCTCAAAGTCTGCAGCACCTGTAGCTCTTCATCTACTTAAGGAGGACTTGAACACTTCAAATCACAGGGCAGAAATATCACAGAATCACAGACTCTTGCTGCACTTGTGTATCCATGCTGATTGTCAATATAAGAAATACTTTTTAAGGACTTGGTACTATACTTAGAAGTAGGAATATAGAAGGATGCCCAAAATAAATAAATAAATACATAGTGTAAACGATCAAATTATTTTGAAAGCCCTGTTGTTTTTATATCAAAGATTATAAACTGAAATGTCATACAGTACACTAGCACCAAAATGAACATGATGTCTCTAGACATCATATAGAGACATACACTCAAGAGAGAAAGCATACGTGCGCCTATTTTACTTAGATTAAAGGGTGACCTAAATTAACATTGGTTTAAAGATAACAAAAAGACCTCGAGCAGTAAGCAGCTGAACATAAATCTGGTTGTTTCAATTACTCTCATAACGATATCTCAGAAGGAAGCAGCTCACCATTCACCTGCAATTCTATTAGGACTGACTGTCAACCCGAAGAGGAGGCATTTATTACTGTTAGACAGGACACTAAAAATTTTCTTTCATGATGACATCAGACTTCATTCTTGTATCATTAAATTCCCTGTTGCCAGGATTCCATCCACACCTCCACCTTTGCTGTTAACAGTTGCCGTAAAATTTTATCTGTGGTCTTGGCCAGAGCTGAGACGATGTGCTGGCTGTCACAAACTCGAATCAAACAGTCTTCATTAAGTATTCCACCTCCCTCTGCTCACTGACTTTGACAAATCAGGGAGTACTGTTCCCACTCAGAGTTTCTTATTCTCATGTAAGATGTTGACAAATTTGGATTTTCCAGAACAAGCTTCAACAAAATATGGGCAGGATTCTAATGATAAACTTGCATGAATAAAACTGGCGACCAAAATACAAGCATCCTCTTCCCTCTTCAGGGGAATCACACATGTTCATGAAACAGAAGATTTATGTACCACCACCAAAGCAGAAAAATGGATAGAAGGGTCCACTTCATATTCTGTTGGCCATGAAGACCTAAATATAGAAGCACAGAATGGTTTGGGCTGAAAGGGACCTTAAAGATCATCTAGGTCTAACCCCCCCGCCATGGGCCACCTTCCCCTAGATCAGGTTGCTCAGGGCCCCCATCCAACCTGGCCTTGAATGCTTCCAGGGAGAGGGCAGCCAGAGCTTCTCTGGGCAACCTGTTCCAGTGCCTCACCACCCTCAAGTAAAGAATTTTTTCCTTATATCTAATCTTAACCCATCCTCTTTCAGCTTAAAGCCATTACCCTTTGGTCCTGTCACTACACGCCCTTATAAAAAGGCTCCCTTTGGATAATCGAAGGTGCTATAAAGTCTCCCTGGAGCCTTCTCTTCTCCAGGTTGAACAACCCCAATTCTCTCAGCCTTTCTTCATAGGAGATGTGCTCCAGCTCTCACGATCTGTGTCAGAAGTTACAACTCAAGTCATCAAGTTTTTCTGAGCTTCTAATGCCCTATAACCCATGGTTTGAAGTATAGCATCTTCTTTTTAAGCTTCCTGTTGAATGTTCCTGATTTCTTAGTTACTGAGCAATCTCCTAACATTATCCAACAGCAACATCTAGGCATAAGAATAATCCTGAAAAAATATTTCATGCAAGATTAATGCCAAAAGTATAAATGATAAAATGCTACTATACTAAATATCATTAAAGATACCATAAGAATAGAAATATAGATAAAATTTCTCCTTCTGCTCCTTGTTACCATTCATAAACTCAGGTTAGGGCAACTCAGTATTTGTAAACTCACTAGCATAAAATGCATTGATTCTGAGCCACCTATCATCTAGACAGTGAAAATACATTTTGATCTATTTACACATAAATGTTATCCCCCAAAAAATTTTATCACCAGTCATAATAATGTCATTATATTAAATAAATATACCTTCAGAGACTTATACCAGAAAACTGAATTACACAGAAGCATCCAAGTTCTACTCAAAAGCGAGACTTAGTGTTTTTCAACTGAAACTATTCACTAATGTGCATACTGCCACTGAATGAATAATGATACTTTTCTTGGCCACTTTTCTTTTTAAGGCATTGTGGGACAGTTTCATACCCCAACATCATAAAATATTTTGTTAACCCTGACACTTATTTTATCTCAATATTGACTTTCAAGGTCTGTTGCAAATTTTTTTCTACCTTCAGAGATCACTCAAACTGTAAGGGCAACACTAATTTTCTTAAGTAACTCAGTTTATTTTTTTTTTACATTCTTCAATCCTTCACAATAGCTGGTAAGTCAGCATTTAGCCAAATATGCGTCAGTAACCTCAGCCAAGATGCCAATAGCCATTTACACAGAAGAAAAACTCCCCTGCTGTATGCAATACCTGCCCCAAAATTAATCAACAACAGAAAATAGCAGCAAAATGATCCTTGAAAGACTACCAAGCAAATATACGGAAGAAAAAAGGATTTGTGAGGTTAATTGTATTAATGCTACATAGTGACACCTGGGGACCCCTGGTGGCCTAGTGGTTAGCATGCAGGACTCTCACCTCTGCGACCCAGGTTCGAATCCCAGCCAGTCCCCCGGGCAGATGGAGCCCGTTAGCCCTGTGAGGCCATCCATCTATGAGAAGGTCACTCTAAACAAACCTACGTCCTGAGGACTTCACTGCCATTGTCCAAGCTTGCTTGGCCCCGGCAGATGAACCTTAGGATTAAAGGGTGGGCTCAGTTCAGCGCAGGCTGTGTCTCACTTAAAAAATCCATTGCGCAGGCTGGAAAGGTAAAAAGACCTTTCCCCAAATCTTCGTTCACGAAGACTGGCCATTATTATATTACATAGTGACACCTGACAAATAAGTGTTTTGGACAGCTTCCTGACTATAAAAATTCTAAAAGGCTGATTAACAAGGGGGGAAAAAAGCACTGTAGATATTCAGCTCGAAATTACAGTGGTCTGGAAAGAAAATCTCAAATTCATCTTTATTTTTTCTGATTTTTAACAAGCATCCTGAAACAGGAAAATTGCATCTATTCTACAAAGCAAAACTTTGCCCATGCATTTGAAAAAAGTTAGGACATTTAATTACCATTTTCTTTTCTTTTACCGCATTCTAAAGCTGCCCAGGGCACTGGTCTCCACTTCCCCACCACTCCAGTCAGACCCTCAGCAAGACAACAGGCTATGAGTTTGAAGTCTACAGTGCATTCCTTTCAAATATTTATGTTTTAGTCTTTGAAAGTATTTGTAAACTGTCTATTCCGTCTTGTCATATTTTAGTTTGTAAAAATTAAACTGACCAAACCCTGCAAAGTACCAACACTTAAACGCTGACAAATTTCAGTTACTACAAAGATAACAGAAGCCAGCACATTTCCAAATGAGCAAAAAACTAACCCATGATAGGGATTGTTTTCAGTTTCTCACAAAGTTTAATTTCCTCAGAAAACATTCACCCTTTTAACTTGATGTACTTGAACAAAGGCTTTAAACACGCACCACAGTTCCATCATTATTTGAGTATTTAACTCATAAACATAAGCAATGTTTGGCGATGAGAATGAAAATGACAAGCAGTAAATACACACTATACAAACTATAAAGATAAATTAAAATTAGCTGTCTGGGAAGCACACAGAAGTTGGAGAAGACTAGAACCTTCACGATTCCTCATTTATCCTTTAATGAAAAAAATTGACATTAGCTGAAAAAGTATTGATTTTCTGTGCTGTAACCTGTGGGAAACTAAAGAATTGAAAGTCATTTTTGCAGCATACTGAGATTGTTTAAAAAGAAAAATTTCAGAAAGGTCTGCCTGAATTACTTTCTGGATCTCACAACACACACAGACATTTATTTCTGTTCAGACTTGTCCTTCTAAATGAGAAACTTGCATTTGGATGTTACACAATTATGTTTAAATCTGCTTCAGCATGGTTGAAATGTATAACCCACCTTGACAGAATGACCAACCACAAGTGCAAAAATATTTCACTTGCTGCCATTAAGAAATGGCACCTTACACTGCTACTAGGTATAAAGACCAGTAGGAAAATAACTGATTTTCCTTGGTATGCTTACACTGTGAATATCCAGGCATTTTGCTCTCAAAGGTGTTTTCCTCTTGTATTCCCCAGCCCCTGACAATACCTGCTAAGGATCTCCTGAGGTGCCTAAGGACACCCAGGAGAAGCATGGAAGACTGCATCAGCCGGGATGTGGGACTGGCAGCTGGAGAGAAGAGGCATGGAGCATCGGCAGCCAGGACAAGGGGACATACCCTGAAGGATGGGTGAGCCCTGGCACAGGACTGAAATTCAGAGAGCAGTGAATTAAAGAGTAGGGAGTGACCTGTGGAGAGGCAGAATGACAGAGGGCAAGAGCTGAGGAAGCATGTGTCAGTGCTGGAAAGCCAGAGGTAATGAACATACCCCTGGTGCATCTGGCTTTAAAAAAATTAGTTTCAAAATTAGTTTGTACTCATTGCATTATTTATAAGAAATTACATCTACAAACAGATTTAGACAGTGTTGGTGGTTTTCTGAGTGTTACACCACAAAGGTATGACACAGTTCTCATGGCAAACTTCCCAAGAATCAGCCAGGAAAACAGAACTATGTGTTCCTCAAGGTATCTGTAGCCTAAAGAGCAGTTTGTTTCCATCAGCTTTCAACGTGGAAATGTTGCCATAGTTGTTGAAGTATAGAATCTCTGCAGCTGCTATGCCCTCTACAAGCACGTTCTGTGTGCCTCAGCACTGAGCAGTGTTCACAACCAGACAAAGCAGGAGAACCAAAGGAAAACATATAAAGAGCTTACTATTGAACCCATGCAGCAGTATGAAGAAATAAAACTGCTTTGTTATGAGATATTGCCCTTTTTCTAGAGAGAGCCATGAGCCTAATTTACATCAATGACAGCTTAAATAGTTCTGGTTTACTGTATTTAAAACCTCTTCAACTGATGCAAGCTAGCATACTTCTGTTGCCCTCAAGGGAAATTCACCATGTTTATCAAGTCCTT